GCTCTTGTGAGAGACCCAACCTGGCATACTGCATCCGTCTCCGGAGCCCCCAACATAAGAAGGATATGGATGTGTTGGAGTGGGTGCAGAGGAGGGCCGCAAAGATGATCAGAGGGCTATGAAGATGATCCGAGGGCTGGAGCACCTCTCCTATGAGGACAGGATGAGAGAGTTGGGGTTGTTCAGCCTGCAGAAGAGAAGGCTCTGGGCACACCTTATAGCAGCTTTCCAGTATGTGAAGGGGGCCTACAAGAAGTCTGGAGAGGGACTTTTTACAAGGGCACGTAGCTATAGTATGAAGGGTAATGTCTTCAAACTGGAAAAGGGCAGATTTAGATTAGATATCAAGAGGAAAGTTTTCACCTTGAGGGTGGTGAGGTACTAGAACAAGCTGCCCAGAGAAGTTGTGGATGGCCCATCCCTGGAAGTGTTCTAGGCCAGGTTGGACGGGGCTTGGAACTACATCTAGACATGTATAGGCCCTTGTCACAGAATAGCAGGACTCTACTGACACTGAGTTTTACAATTGAAGCCATAATCAAGCTTCCTTTTATGTCATCTAAATGTACATGTGTTTAGATGTACAAAAATAGAGGGAAGTAGGAGAGCTAGAAAATGTGCAGATAAATCTTTCTTCTATTCTTGCATCTGAATTATGTACGTTATCAACATTTACTAGGAACTAGTTTTTATTAACTGTATTTTTTCAATCTCTGTTTTAAACAATCGTGTCAAAATTTTTCATAGGCCTGTTTTCTTAAATCCACAAGCTTGAGCATAACATTAATCACAAGTAATAACATGCACACTGGTCACATATAGCTTAGATGGCTGGAACCTGCCTTTACCATTTTCCTCAAGGGTAAGCAGCAATGGTTGTAAGTTCTTCTCAATTCTCCCACTCAAAAACACGAGGTCTGCACAGATTCATTCTCTTTGTTTCATTACTTCATTCTTCAGTGTTCTCAGCAGACATCACTGCAAACTCACTTCTCCAAAAGAGTTCAACCCCTCCTTTTATCACATTCTAATACAACCTTCAGCTTTGCAGAAACCAGTGAGAGGCATTTCATGGAACTACAAAGTGACACTGTGTGTTTTTAAGAAATTAGCTGAAATAAATCAGAATTGGTGATCTTGAAATCAGGTATATAGTATAAGATTAAAAATTTGACCAAGAGAAGACTTCTTTCAAATATGCCTTAGTAAAAGAAGAAAAGTTACATTTTCTGCCATTTTCTTCTGTTCACTGAACTCTGGAATTCGAGCTTCTGTTTAAATCCACCATCAAAAGTAGACTTGATAGATGCTCACCCGATGGAGCAGTATTTACATATGACATACCAATGCATAACAAATGCCAATTAGCACTCACAGCAGCTACAGTTACAGAGCTGGATTTCCTTACAGCATTCCTACGCTCCTTTGCTGCTGGCAGGTACTCAGTCGCATGTGCCAAGAGCTATTTCTACTGCCAAAACCTCCTCCCCCATAATACAAATCACTGACCCAAAACACAAAAGGAAGTAATTTTAAAACATTAAAGTTCCTTAAGTTTTGTTGAAAATGGGAAGCCTACAGTCCTTTAGATTTGCATGCTTATCCCTTAAATTTCTTAATCATTCCTCACATTTAAAGTTAAAAGAACCCAAACACCCCCACACCCCCCCAAAAAAAAAACAACCAGAAAACCCCAAACAAACCACAAAACCTTAACATTTCTCTCTAGGAGCCCATGAGCCTTCCCTTACAAAAGGGTTAGCAATATCATCAACATGAAATCTGATAATTTAAAAATAAAATATGTGAACAAAACTGGGAAAGTTGGAAGAGAGGTTTGTTTGGGTTTTTTTTTTTGTTTGGTTGTTTTTTTAGTTTTGTTTTGGTTTATTTTAAGGCAGTTTTTTTAAAGGCATTCATGCATGATATCTCATGCAGTCAGTCATGGACTGACTGAATTTTTTTCCTGAACAAAAGTTAACAAAAATAGTTGTTAAATTGGGATGTACTGGGAGGGTATGTGTGTGGGGGTGTATGTTAAAAAAGAAAGGAACACTCAAATCAAGAAACAGAAGAAGGATTTGCTTGGCAAATGAGTCTGAGAATAAAAATTGGTAGTAAGTTAGCATCATGACAATTTTCTTCAGTCTTCTTTAAGTCTAGCAACAATGCAGGGATTATTTTAGTTATACAACCACAGTAGACCACAGATCCAGTAGCTATACTTCTTTTTCCTTTTACCATCTTTAATACCACTAATCACCAGCAATTTACAACCTTTTATTAAACATGAATGAATACAGTTAACTTGGAAAAGGACAGACATAATTATTACTGTTTATCTAATCTAAACACACTTAAGGAAAAGAGAAATATGTTTGAAATGGTTATGTGAATACCAGAGAAAGAAGTAGTATTTCAGTTGAAGTGATGACAAAACTATGATATAAAGCTTTACACCCTATTCTCCTGCTGTCTGCCTGAGACCAGGTCTCAAATAAAAACAGAGTTCAACCTAGTAAGATACTGGGTATCTGAATTAAACAACCAGATGGAAGTTTTATTAGCAGCACTACAATAATCTCACCACTTGTGTTTCTAAACTGTCCCTGTCAGAGCTCCTCCTCCTCCAGCTACTTCCAGAGTACAACCACCTTCCAAATTTTTTTTTTTTCTACCTACACATAAGTTATCGCACACATTCCTTTTGAATATGGTCACAGTCTAGTTACCCATGATTTCTGATCTTGAAGTGGGAGTTTAGCTGTAAAGTTTGGGTGGACCTCAAAGTCTGACAACAGAGCTGTCCAGTCTCTCAGATGTAGCACAGTGCTTTCAATACTCTTATAGATGAGTTTAGACTTCCTAAAAACATAAATTTCCAAGGAACAACATTTTTTTTTTTTCCTCCTCTCAGGTTCAAATATAACAAGCGATTTACAGTGGAAAGTGCAAAGTGCCAGTTCTCAGATTTATCTTTCTCAGTATAATGTGTGGAACCATCTATACATCATACAGGTTCGATCTGGCACAGTCACAGACATAATGCTAGCTGTTGCTGTCATGTTTATAAATTAAGTAGTTCTGTAAATAGACTGCACACATAGAGGGAGGAGAAGTCTTCAGTATTGCTGAACAACTATTAACTGACTTTTTATTACAGTTTTCTCTTTTGGAGAGCTTTGTATACCCAAGTATGTGCCTGCACTTAGATATAAAGTGCAGAATGCTTCAAAGGAACAAGACTGCACTTAGTAAGAGTATGTTGTCATGTTGTAAAATCTGTCTGACTGCCCTTCAAACCCTTTTATCTATCTGCAGCAGTGACAGGCCAGACAACTGTGATAATCAGAATCATCAAGCCTCACTGAACTCAAACTTGCAGAAACACTCTGATACAATTTCCAGCCTTGAGACTAGGTACCTATTTGAAACCAGCAAGTAATCTACAAGTGTTGAAAGTTATTACTTGAAGAGTGCTTGCCAAATTCTTCTGCACAAGTGTATTTATTGCATGTAGCATAACTCCCCTCTCATGTCCAAAAGCAAGGTATTTTCCACTTAAGAGTTTCATATATTTCAGGTATGAAAAAAAATGCAGTGCATTCCCTACGTTAATTGAATCTACATCATCAAGCCACAGCATCCAGTTCTTTGGGGACTGTCAGTCTCCAACATACGTCCACTAATCAGTACTGACTGGGCTGTATTTTTTTAATCAACACACTAACTAACAATAGTCTGGAAAGACTAATGATAAATAGTGTAAACAAGAGTCACCAAAAGTTATACTGATGCAGTGGCATAGGTAGGGAACACTTTTGACAAGCCAAATACAACTTAGAGAATTAATTTTTAAAGAGCAATTTTAAAGATAATTAAATAAAATAATGAAAAGATGAATGTACAAAAGTAGGAAAAAAGTATACCAATAACGATGTAAGTTCTGCAAGTTTTCATTATTTTGCCAAAAGGAATTCTGAAATGCAAATGAAAGTCAGACAAATACACCATACCGCTTAACAACAGTCAGCACTTGCCATCCTTTGGCAAAGTCTGCTTGATAACTGACAACATGCATGATTTACCCTACCAAGCAAATCCCTTTTCGCCTATGCTATTCAGAAGTTTGCAGAAAGAATTAGAGAAAGGAAGAGGAAATCATAGTAAGCTCTGTCTCTTAGTATTCAACTGTTCACATACTTCAAAATTTTTATGCAATTAGCTTATTCACAATTGTATAACAAATAGCAAACCACTCTACATTTAGCTATCTACCCTTAATTTTAGAGGAAACCCTCATGAATTCTCTTCTACTTTTGTATTGACAATGCAGTCTAATCTTGTATAAACCTGTCACTTCTGCTTCCAAAAGATAACAAAAAGCAGTACAACTTCCACTCCTTCAAGCTGAAAAGCTTGAGTAAGACTTTCATAGTACCTCTGCATGTTTTTGTATCAGCTCTTCAGCCTGACAATGCAAATGCATTATATTTGTCAAAATTACTGTTATTGCATTGAATGCGAGTCTGATGACGGTGAGTTTGGTACTACTCATTTGAAAATCATATATCAAGGAGAGAGTCCCATTGCCTCAAAGTGACAACCTAGAGGAGGATTCTGTGAAGAAGGTGTTTTTTTGTGACTGTGAAATGAATTGCATGCAGTCAAGAGTAGTTGTAATAGCAGCACAAACACAACTCACATCATGGTGTGATCCCCTTTTCTGTAACTCTGTCCTTTTCTCCCTTCCTCATATGAAGCATAACTTTTAATGTGAAAACATGCCAGTGTCACACTATACATCCTTAAAAATAACCAGCTCTCCTAGACTCTTCTCTAGGGCCATATCTCAAGGGATTCTTCTGAGCAGATCCCTAAATAAGTCAAAGCCTGCTCTCCTGAAGTCCAAGGCTGTGATCATGCCATTTGTCCAGCACTCCCCTCAGGATCCTGAATTCAATCATCCCATGGTCACTGCAATTAAGGCTGCCCCTGACCTTCACATCTCACATGTCTGTAGGTATGAAGTCCAGTAGGAGTGCTTCCCTTTGTCAGCTCCTTGATCACCTGGGTCAGGAATTTGTCATCAATGCATACCAGAAGCCTCCTGGATCGCTTGTGCCTTATTGATTTGTCCCTCCAGCAGGTACTGGGGTTGTTAAAGTCTCTCATGAGGACTTGGGCCTGTTGAATACGAGGCTCCTTCCAATTATCTGAAGAGGCTCCATCTTCCCTGATCAGGTGGCCTGTAGCAGACACCCATAACAACATTTCCCACATTGCTCTCTGCCTGCTAACCATGATCCGTAAACTCCCAGGTGACTCCACAGCAAAGCTCTCCCACTGCTCTCCCACATAAAGGGCAACTTCCCCCTTTGTCCTCCAGCTGGTTCTTCCTGAAAAGCCTGTATTCATCCACCGCAACACTGCAGTCCTGTGAGCTGTCCTACCACCTACACATGATCCCAGCAAGATCCTAGCCCTGAAACAGCATGCAGACCTCCAATTCCTCCCATTTGTTCCCATACTGTGAGTGTTAATGTACTTTAGAGAGGCACTCAGTCATGATGATTATCCAGGAAAATCGATGAGCTTCCCCTGTAATGGATATGGAAACACAACAAAACCAAAGGCAAATAAGCAGCACTATTTGATCAATCTGACTTCCAGATACACAATCTGGTCTTCTGTTAATGAGCTTTAAGATCAACTAAAGCCACTAGAAAGCATGTGACCTGAAAAAAAAAAAAAAATCTGTGTACGTGTTACACAATTCTGCTTTGGCATCATGCATTCACTGTTCTCCTGTATTAGGCTACAAGCACCACGATGACTGCAAGTAGGCAGTCAAGCGAAGACTGGCCTTCTCGCACTAGCCTTAAACCAAGACTGTTTTGCACCAGTGACCCCTAAAGCAATTTTGGACTTACATACTCTGCTACCCAAATGCAATTGGACAGAGCAATCCCAATCTAAGTCTGCTTGCTTATCAGATATTACTTGGATAACAATAATGCATTAAAAACAATTTTCATAATAAGCTTAATTTATAATGTATTGATTTTTAGTTTGCTTATCCCCTGAAACTTCTTTAAAACGTAAGCCCACTCCTCACCTCCTCCAGTCAACTGTTTAACATACTCCTGGGACCAGATTTTACTGAAACGCAACAACTGCTTTTGATAATAACCACATCATACGCCTGTGTGCAGGCAAAATACATTCACCTTCCCACTATATTCAACCAAGATGAATCTAGTTTCTGCAATTTAAGTTAAAAATGCAAGAACTCTACAAAAAGAACTATAGAAAATGATGTAAAACCTATTAGTTCTAAGATGCTGAATAAACTAATCTGAAACACTCAAATTCCTGTCTACACATTACTTCCTTTCCTTTAAAGGTGAAACATATTCTGATAGCGCACTTCCCCTATCCTATCAACCTAATCTTAGCTTTCAGAATTTTTCCTTAAGTGAAACATTTCATTTCAATTCCTCCCCCCAAACAGAAACATTAATCAAGAACTAAAGACATAATTGCCTTAGAAAAAGTAAAAACATTGACCACAATTGTACAGTGTATTAAATGTCAAAATGAGATCACGTAATGGAGGTGCAAGTATGGCTAGTGAAACATAGCAGTTCAGTGCAAAGTCATATTTATCATTGTATTTTAATGTCTACCACAGACAAACAAATTCTTAAAAAGAATATACATTAATATTAGTTTTGCATTTCAGTCTTTAATAATTTTCAACTAGCTGATTTAAGAACAGTACCATAAACTCAATTCTTTCTTCTGTTGGACAGATAAGATACCTAAAAAAAAAAAAATATGAAAAAAAGCTGAAGCATCCCAGCAGTCTCTCTCAAAAGGAGTTTAAGAAAATGGCTGCCAAAGTAAAGAAGCTGTGGCATGCATCCAGTGAGGCAAGACAAAGATGAACACTAAAAGGAAAGGAAGACTCACTTTATTTTTTGTTTTCAAAACAGAAATAGTTTTCTACACTATTAGGGAAAAAAAGACTTGGCATTAGCTTATTCAGAAATTCTGTCAAAAGCAAGCATAAGCACTTGCTTTCAACAGTTGCATTACTAATACAAAACCCCAAACTCGAATGCTTGCACTGTTGGGGGTAGAATGGGGCATCTCAGACATTATCAGTGTCAGCGAAGGGTCCAGGGACAAATGCTATTACAGCACAGATCTCAGCAGAAGATGCTATACAGCCAGCCTTATTCTTATGAAACCTTGAGGACACACCCAGGCTGCTCAGAGTCGAAATGCGTAATCACAGTAGTCCCTATTTGGCATCTACAAGGGAAAGCTCTGAGTTTGAGACTGCAGGCTATTTCCTGAGCAAGCAGCCACCCATCCCCTTCCAACCACATCCAGCCTTCCCCGGCTGCTAGAACGCAGGCTGAAGGGGAACGCTGGGGCTGGGTAAGCGCTGCCATTACCTACCACAGAGAGCTGGACTTCTGCCCTCAGATACAGCTGCCCCTCTGCCCTTTACTTCTAAGGCAGCAGCAGTCCTGACCCGCTGAGATAGGCTGTGAACAAGTGTGGGAAGCGGCATTTAGCTGGCTCAAGCAGCTGTTGCCGGCATCCTCCCAGACTGGAGAGATGCCGATCAAACGGCACCATTGGACTGCTCTGCCTTAAATGAAGTCAGGAATTCAGGGCTTGGATCCCCTCCTCCATCTTCTTCAAGCAAAACAGAGCACAACAGACATGCCAACACGACAGCTTTTTTCTTGCCATCCAGCAGTGAAAGCAACAAGCGCATGTTAACCCATCACAAATGGTCCTGAGATTCAGCACATGGTGGACTACTCAGGAACGGACTTTTAAACTCACCTTAGAGATCACTACATTTTCAGGCACAATCTATTGCTTTAAGTATTTTCACCAGTAAGTTAAAGGAAAATTGAGAAACAGCCAAACAGCACACAGGCTACAAAGTAAAAAAGCTAAGCTAGCTACTTTAGATTTAAAATCAAATTTGTCACTTGTAATGACAAGTATGCACTGATTCCTTTTACAATACCCAAAAGTTATAAATTTGACTTTCAGTATCGATCTAGTAATATAACAATACTGACATACAAATAAAATAATAAAGCAACAGACTTAAAGCAACAAAAGTAAATATTAGAAGAAACATTTAAGTCACACAGAAACCTACTTTGCCATTTCACTGAACATTTAAACTTGCACATAGTGAGAAAATGCACCTGCAACACTGGAAATATTATTTAGCTTTCTAAATGTCACTAATGCAGCTCCACAAGCCAACTAATACACATTCAACTCTCCACATTATGGAAGGGATAATGATAAACTAGGTAGAATTCTTTCTTATTAATAGCATGCTTAAATAAACAGAAATAGAACAGATCTTGCATCTATAATTCTGAGCTCCAGAAAAGCAAAACACCAAGTTCTGAGGGCGGAAAGTCCAGGTCAAGCGTCCTAAGCACGAGTGGGTCTTCCACAGTCATAAAAGCACACCAGCAGACTGCTGCCAAAAGACAAAGTCCTGCCCTCCACCATAATCATGTCCCTCACACACACACAACTGCCAGGACCTGCTGTACAAATCAACTCTGGGCATTGATTTTTCGAAGTACTAAGAGAGAGGGAGCAGGCCGAGCCAGATTTCAAAAGCAGCCTATACCTCCACATTGGATGGATATGACTGTGCAACTGCACTTCTAAAAAGAACTTTAATTTAAAGTCACAACCAGAAACGCTCTTCCAATTTGCCAGTGGATCAATAACTGAGAAAAAAAGCACAACACCCAATTTGTTATTGGTTTTGCCTACGTTTTTCCTGTCTTAGTGCCACCTTTCTACAGAAACTTCATCTAAGCCTAACCTAATGTGCATCAAGAGAGACAGCTTAAACAGAAAAACTGTGAATAAAAGGAAAAGCACAAGCACTTGCTTCAAATGCTTTGAAGCATAAAGGAAGTATTTTATGTTGAGGGAATTTGTTTAGAGAAAGAAAAACATAGCACAAAGTGACCCACAAAAATGCAGAATACTGTATTTTTCAGTTTCAAGAACTTTAGCATTCAAGGATGCTAGATAACCATGTGGGATATGAGTGTTCACAATGAAAGGACACATGAAGTTTTAGAAATAGCTTATTACCTGTGCTAGTCTCAAATTAAGCTCATGTGTTGAGGAATATTTCACATCATGGAAAAATGCTTTGATAAGCTCTAGCTCTTTTAAGTACTTTCAAGAAACGGTTCGCAGAGTAAACATGAGCTTTCACCTATGATTTAGCCGTTCTTCCACCACTCCCAGTACCTACCGAAATACAAATACAATGTAAGCTGTCTCCAGCAAAGTCAGAAGTTGGACAACTCTACTGCAAGAATGACATGGCTTTTCAGGCTTCTGCTTTTATCTGTAATCTGCTTTCTTCCCACCCTCTGTTATGAAGGTGCTAGAGCTTATACAACACAGCTGGCATAGCTTGCCTTGCTAAGTTAGCTCACAGCCAAATCAATTAATGGATGGGCTGCAGATGATATGCAGTCCCAACTGCAGCCAAACACATAGCTGACTCAAAATTAAAGCAAGCTTTCCCCTTCTGGACAGGCAACATACGATTGTCACAGGATTGTCATGAGAGTTTGAGTACCTGATAAAGCATTATTGGATAAACCACTGGACACCACCTTTCAAATTTAAAAGGCATTAATAGCTAGCAAAGCATAAAGAGTAAATCAAATAAAAGAGAACCTCTTAGGAGTTTAATGCCAAATCACGTTGTCCAAATTTACAGTCTTGATGAAGCCACTAGGCAAAAGAACAGAGTCTGCTGACTGTAAAATCTACTAAAGACAGAAGACAGGTATTCAGTGAGAATTACTTCCCTCCTCTAACTGTGCTAGACAGGATAAAGAACAAAGGCTATTTTGTGCTCATCCCTATTTAAGCATTCAGTTACCTCTAGTGAAGCACAGCATGGAAGACTTAATGACTGTTTTGTGACAGTTCCTCAGAACAGGTCTGTATTTTTTCTTAAGTAAAACGGTCAAAGCAGCTTGCAAAACACAGTAACGACAGGCCTGCCGAAATGCTCAGACAGAAAACTGTAACTTCATAAATTCCAAGCTGGTATCTATGCTGTGATGGATACTTTGGTGGGCGATGACATCTTCGCTAACGCAACTGGCACTGGATAAAGTTGCAAATACTCTGTCAGCAAATACATACCTGGTCTTCACTGCACTCAACACTTCCCTGTAGCATTATAAGCATATGCTGACACCCACCTTAGCCGTACGCTCGCAAAAACAGGATGCCTGGCACAGATGCCCGCACGACTCGATGCCGTGCGCCCTCCCCGGCCCCCCCTCCCGGGGGGGCCCCCGCC